GGGGGGGTGTGTGTGTGGAGGAGAGAGGAGAGCGCCTCTGGCAGGGTGGATGACACGGTGCCGTGCGCTCTGACTTACGTCTCGTGGGTGCCAAAGAAAAAGATGGGGTATTTGTTGGACGGCGATTTCACGGCTCCTTCGGGAAGCTCATCGATCTGCGGATTCAAACAAGAGACAGAACTGAAAATGGGAGCATCGGCCTCAGTGTCACATTTGGCTGAAAACCAGATTGTTCAGGATTAATCGTGCAGGGCAGGGCACGAAGCAATCCAAGTAAAATACACGAAAGACAGGTGGAGTGGAAGCAAAATTGTAATGACCTTGCCTTGGCTGTTTGCGGCAACACCTGGACCTGCTCTTTTGCACAGAGGAATATTTGGGAAAAGTACTCAGTGCAGCACGGAACGTCAGGTTTGGGATAGCGTTAACAGCGGGGACTTTTCCCAGGTCAGGGGCCATCTTTAAACATCAGACTGAGACTGTTGCTGTGTAAACGGAGACAGAACTCCGAGCTCCAGCTATCATCGAAGGGTCCAGATGGGTAAAAGACTGAGACAGCGAGACTCATCTGTTGAGTGTCTAAAGTAGCCGGAACTAACAGATTCATTTATTGGTTTGCCTGTACCTAGGCGAAATTAAACCGTTTTTGTGTGAAAATAAAATCTTGAATTGGGAGTCCATTGTCAGAAATGTCCTTTAGGGAGGGAAATCTGCCATCCTTACCTGGTCTGGCCTACACGTGACTCGCAGACCCACAGAGACTCATAAATGCCCATCTGGGCAACGAATGCTGACCTAGCCAGCGATGCCCTCATTGCAAGAATGAGGATGAAGCTCATAAATTTGTTTTACATCATGTGTTCATTTTGATGGGATTGTGAAGAAACCCTTTGGGCGTTTTCGGTGTAACAATACCAGCCCAGATAGGATGGATACCGTTGCTGATCCCCTCTTGCACACCTCCCTCACCCGTGAAAGGGGGGTTGGGGGGTGGGGGGGCACTGTGCCCCTCTATCACAAAGATAGGGCGGCCACTCGAGTCTGCTCTGCCCTTCAAACCCGCAGACAGCTCCTTCCGAGAGAGAGACACAGGAGAAACAGCCCAACTTTGAGCCTCAGAGTTCTGTCTGATTATTTTTAATAACGTGACAGGAGGCGCACTTCTCCAAGAAATACAGCCAGCGACGACCGGCAGCTGCCAATCAAAAACAAGTCTGCATTCCTCTCGCGCCTTCCATCAATGCTAGGCAGAGTCAAAGCGCTTCGGTGTCTGCAACAGAGCCCGCTTTCAGTCCTTCGCCGCCGCAAAGCGGAGAGAGGCGTGGGCAGTCGATACACACGCGCACAGCAAGCTCCCACTGCCGCCCTCTGCGCACACTCCCTGGCTGTCGATGCAAAGGGAAGCGTGTCAGCCCAATCACAACAAGTGAGGGGAGGAAGAGGAGGCAGGCATGTGGATTTTTTTTGGGGGGATGGGGTGCATGGGCACAGTGCTGAGGAGATCGCAAGACCTTAAGAGCTGACAGAAGCAGGCCATTCAGCCCATCTAAACTGGCCCAGCCATTCAAGGAGATGCTGGTCTGATCACTCGCAACTCTGCTCTCCCATCTCTTCCCCCTAACCCTCAATTCCCTTCCTGATGAAAGGCCTTTCTATCTCAGCCTCGAATAGTCTGAGTGACCCAACCTCAACAGCCCCTCTGTGGTAAAGAGCTCCTCAGCTTCCCTCCCCTCGCAGGGAAAAAATTCCTCCTCTTTCTCGTCTTCGACGGGAGACCCCTCACTCTGAAATGATGCTTTCTGGTCCTAGACTGTCCCACAAGGGGAAATACCCTGGGGAGAGCTGCAGAACAGAGGGACTTAGGGGTTCAGGCACATAATTCTTTGAAACTTGCGTCACAGGTAGACAGGGGCATTAAGAAGGCGTTTAGCACGCTTGCCTTCATTGCTCAGACCTTTGAGTGTAGGAGTTGGGACGTCATGTTGGAGGCTGTACAGGACGTTGTGAGGCCTCTTCTGGAGCACTGTGTCCAGTTCTGGTCACCCTGTTACTGGAAGGATATTATTAAACTGGAGAGGGTTCAGAAGAAATGTACCAGAATGTTGCAGTGACTAGAGAGTTCGAGTTGTAAGGATAGACTGGGACTCTTTTTAACTGGAATGTAGGAGGTTGTGGGGTGACCTTATTGAGATTAATAAAATCATGAGGGGCACAGACAAGGTGAATAGCAAAGCTCTTTTCCCTAGGGTGGGGGTGGGTTCGAAACTAGGGGGCATATTTTTAAGGTGAGGGGAGAAAGATTTAAAAGGGGCCTGAGGGGCAACTTTTTCCACACAGGGGGTACTTCATATGTGGAATGAACTGCCAGGGGAAGTGGTAAATGTAGCTACAGTTACAACATTTCGACAGGTACACAAGTAGGAAAGGTTTAGAGGGGTAAGGAGGGGTAATGCAGGTAGACGGGACTAGTTTAGTTTGGGAACGTGGTCAGCCTGAACAAGTTGGCCTGAAGAAACAAAAACAAAGTTGCTGGAAAAGCTCAGCAGGTCTGGCAGCATCTGTGAAGGAGAATAGAGAGTTAACGTTTCGGGTCCGGTAACCCTTCCTCAGAGAGTTGGACTGAAGGGTCTGTTTCCCTGCTGTATGACTCTATAACCTTTCCACATCTACCCTGTCAAGTCCCCTAAGAATCTTAATAAAAACCAAAAGAACTGCGAATGCTGTAAATCAGAAAGAAAAACAGAAATTGCTCAGCAGATCTGGCAGCACCTCTGGAGAGAAATCCGAGTTAACGTTTCGGGTGACCCGTCCTCAGAACTTTCCCCGAAAAGGTCGCCTCTCATTCTTCCAAACTCCAGTGAGCATGGGCCTCAACCAACCCTGCTCATCCCCTCCTCATCACAGACAGTCCCTCCATCTCCGAGCGAACCTTCTCAGGCTCCTGTCTATCTTTCCTGCTAGAAGGGGGCGCAGGACTGTTGGCAGTGTTGAACCCGCGGGCCCGAGTAGATCAGCGAAGAGCTGCGGGCGCTCTGACCCGATGGGAGACTCTGACACAGTACCTCTGACATGCCCCGGTCAAGCTGGGCCCTGCAATCGACCGATAAACCGACACGTCTCTCTCGCTCACGCCCATGTGCTGTCGGTGTTATCTTAAAAACTAAAAAAGGCCCCGTCACTGGGTTCGTTGGGGGGGCGGGGGGAGAAAGAAACTACCTCCTGCACCTCTGTGAACGTTTACATTCTCCACGGACAGGGTTCTGTGTGAACAGATTGATAACAAGCTCGCTCTGAAAGCGGACTCTGCCTTCTCCTACAGCTGGGGCTCACTCACTCTCTCCGCTGCGGCTTTCCCATCTCCTCCCATACCACTTACTGACCATGAGCACTTGACACAAAATCCCCCATCGGGGCCCGACAACAGGGGTAGGGGGAAGGTGAAATTTACCGTCCTTACCCAGTCTGGGCCTACACGTAACTCCAGGCCCTACAGCGACTGGGGACGGGGGGGCTTGCATTTTTCTCAACAGAAAGGGAAGCAACCAAATCAGCCATGGTCTTACTGAGGACTCATCACAGACAGTCCCTCCATCCCCGAGCTCAGCCCAGCGAACCTACTCTGGCTCCAGCGGGAGCAGAACTGTTCCCAGTGGGCCCCGAGTAGATCAGCGAGGGGTAGAATCGAGGGGCTGAGTGGCCAACTCCGAATCCGACTGTATTCCTAGGCATCAGGCAACT